AGGGAGGTAGGGGGTGGGGCGTGGGTAAAATAATTTTTTTTCGATTTTTTGTCATTTTTCTAGAAATTCTACAGGGGGGACTACGTTCAATTAAAAAAAAATTTTTTAGGAGCGGGGTGGGAGGGGGAAGGGGAAGGGGGGGGAGAGGAGTCAAGTAAAGAAAGTTTTAAAGTGAAAAGAACTTGCTTTGTTAACTTTAAAATTTTTTTCCTGATTTTCATCCTTCTTCTCTTTCTTCCTTTCTATCAAGTTGTTCATATAATTCTGTGCCCCTATATTGGAAAATCCTTTTTGAAAAGAGGCCTAGAATAATTTAAACAACTTACTCCTAAATTTAAGCCATTATCACCCTCCGGCACTAATTACTATCCTCAATACCTTACTTATCTCAGTCCTCCACCTTAATACTTGCATACCTTCCGTAATAACCGCATACTTCATTAATACCTTCTTTAATATGCTTCCTTCTTCCCCCATTATCATCCGGTTGTTTGTGCGTGATCTGTCCATGAAAAAGAAAGTATAACGCTATTGATAATCACAGGATTCATATTATTTGGATGAGTGTTGGCCTCCCCCTGCCCGCGATGTTTTCCGTAGGCCGGCCGTTATCTTATCAGCCCAAATCGGGCGAAGAGAAGAATTGGGAATGGGGCTGAAGGGAGGGGGGCGAGGAGGAATCAAGCGCTTTAAGCGCCCTTGATCATCAGCCGGATCCAACCCCCCTCTTCGGGACTGATTGCATAACGTTATTGTGTGGAAATTAACAAAAACACTGATCGTTTTCTTCAAGAAGCTGAAGGAAGGAGGTCTTGAAGTTGGTGTAAATGTAGCTCAAGGAAGGAAGTCTTGAAGTAGGTGTAGAAGTAGTTCAAAGAAGAATGTCTTGAATTATGTGTAGTGAAACTCGAAGAAGTATACCTTAACATATCTGTAAAGCTCAATGAGGTATGGCATTAAAATTCACCTCAATTAGGTAAGTCGATATTAGTTTGTTCAAATAATTCTGAGACATCTTTCAAATCAAATTTTCTCTGTTAATGTGGTTCAGAGTTATTTGAAATACTTATTGTAGAAGACCTGGGTTCTAATGAAAGCAAGGTAGTAGACTGATTTAGGCTTAATATAATCTCGGTAAGGCTAGTCTTAAAGCGGTATAGGTTAAGGAAAAGCTAGTTTTAAAAGCCTGTTAAAAATTTTTAGTTTTGAAAGTAAGGGCATGTTAAAAATGGCACTTGTCAATTTTTTTAGGGGCCAATTTCAAATTTTTAAAATTTTTTTACAAAGAAAGAGAAAGATATAAAACAAATTGAATTAAATAAAAATATACTATAATATATGACAAAAATTTTTGTAGTTGACACCTTTTTGATTGGAGTACTGTAACACACAGTGTTTAAGCTTTTTCACTATCAAACTCTTGATTTTCTCTCAAAAACTCAATTTTTTAATATTTTTGCCATTTCATACATCATAAGAACTAAAATTTAAACTTTTTTTTAACAATACTTATCGTATTTTAGACTCAAGGAACTTCTTGAGTCTAAAATACTATGATTTTTGATATAAACATGTCCTGTGTATTCGCAATCCCTTCTTATCTGTCGTTTAATGCCCCATCCAAAGTCCCAATCAGCAGAGACCGCAATCAAGCAGCGTTTGCGTTGTGATAACAGGAATTAGATATTAGCCGGCTAGCTTTTGCTTTTGGCTTCGAATTGGTTCTATTCTTCATTTCGAATTTTGAAATTTGGGTTTTGTGATATAAACTTAGAAGCAATTGAGGTTAAAGTTTTGAAAAATGATGACTTTTGAGAAGGTTTTGCTTACATATTATTTGGTTTTTCAGATAATTCTGTGCCCCATCTTGTAAATTTTGGAGTAGGGAGCACAGTATTATTTGAACAACTTAATAGTTAATTTTAAAAAAAGTCTTGTCGTCAATTTACTTGTATTTTTACGTTAAAAAACGACATTACTTTTTTAACCTTTTTAATAGTTCTGCTTGCTATCAAGTACTAGTTTGAGTACTATGTAGAAAAGAAGGTAGCATAAAAAATACTCAAATTTCCAAAAAATTTTTATTAATATTGCCATTTTATCTTCAATTTTTCAAATTTTTGTACAAAAAACGATTTGGCCATAAAAGGCCAAATGGATCGCAAAAAAGAGAGAAGGGGAGGGGGGGGAGGAATGGGGTAGAATATTCATGGCATCGGACTACTAAGCAGGATCGAAAATCATTACAGACAAGGCGGTTGATTCAGATCCGAGCATTCATTCGCTCTGAACTTTAGCCAGATTTCGGTTTGTGCTGGGCATGGTTGGGCGTGGTATTTTCGGATTTTTGGGGGTTGGACAGAAGAAAAGATACTTTTTTATCTTTGGTTTTAAACTTCTAAATTTTCAAGTATTAAAATAAGAAAAAAAGTGTTGTCGTTTTTGAACAAGGAAGTCATGACTTATTGACGACAAAACTTTAATACAAATAACCATGGGGTGGAGATGTAGCTAGAATGTAAAGTTGTTCAAATAATTCTGTGCCCTGTTCAGTTTTTTAAAAGTTTTTGACTTTATGAAGCACAGAATTATTTGAACGACCTAATACACTGTAAATTCAAAAAAAAACTGCACAAATTGAAGATTAGCATTCCAGGCCAAGCTCTGTGCAGCCTTACTCATCCCGTGAGAGCCAAACGGTGAGTAAAGAAATCGAAAACGATATGTCGGGCCTTGATCCTGGGCCTTTTTTCATGTTATTTTAGAGGTTTAGTGGCTTATTTGGACAGTGTGAAAATGAATTTTTTCATTTTTGGCAGGGATAGATCTATAAATGTTTTGGTAGAGGTAGAGGATAAGAATTTTTGGAAAGAGAGGGCGAGATTGTGAAAATGAAAAATTTTTTTGGGACGGGCGGGGGTGAGAATTAAAAGAGTAGGGGGAGGGGGAGGGATGGAAATAATATTTTTTATTACAAGATCAATAGGCCTAACTAAAAGGTAAAAAAAAATTTAGGGCGGGGTAAATTTAATTAGAAGAGGGGGTGGATTTTAATATTTTTTTTCTGTTGCTTAGGCTTGTTTTTCTTTTTAAAAATAAAAAACATAATTGCTGTCTCGTATTTTACCTTATTATCACATTCACCTGTACATCTCTACCCACCCCCATCTCGCTCCCATACCCCCACTGTATCCCCTCCTATTGTTATTCCGTGCGGCCTGATTTCCATGAATTGCGCTATTTTTACGAGGGATCACAATGGTGGTGGGGCCAAAGCGAAGAATTTATATTATCAGAGGATCGTCTTGCATTTTTAATCATATCTAATCTACGAGACCCGCCACACATACATTGGAGGAGAGCAGCGAATGTTGTTGTATCGCCTCAACATTCGGTCGCGGCTTAATGGGGATGATTATCATATGGTGGGGTGGTGGTTGTGGTTAAGGATGGGTGAGAGGAAGGGGGTTAGGGTAGGGTAGAGTAGGCCAGGAAAAGATAGGGTAAGAAATTTTTAAGAGAGGGGGGGGATTATTACTTTTTTTAGTTTTTATTAAGGCTAGTGAGTAGAAGAAGGATATAAGTTTTTTGGATGGAGTAAAATTTTTTTTTTAAGGGTGAAAAAGAATTTTTTGGGCAGGGTAAAAAATTTTTAAAACTAGAAAAAAAGTAAAAAATTTTTAATTTTGGTCCCCCCTCCTACAAAAACTTATTTTTAACCGTAACCCCCTGTCACCTTTCTACCCTACCCCCCCCCCTTCTCCCCCCCCCCTCTACCCCCTTTTTTCCCTTACCCCGCCTATCTCAAAAACAGTATTTGTCGTTGTGATCTGCGAATCTATTTGCCATACCTTTCCGATCCGCGCGCACTGCTTAATTCAAAAGCTGAACAATAGACGACTAAACAGTGAATGAAACGATCTGATTCCAAGACTGAATGCATCTGAATTCAATTAGGAAATTCGAATTTTGGGGCCAAGATAACGCTTTTTATTTGCAACGGTAGGAGGTGACATTTGCCATGGCATTTTTCATTTAAATTTGTTTTGGCTGAGGATTTTTGAATTTTTTATTCCTTTTTTGGTTTTGGGGTGGATTTTTTTATTTTTAAAACGTTTTTTGGGTTTTGGGAGTGGATTTTAGGGTTTTTGCGTGGTAAAAGAAAGCTTTTTGACAGTGGCTTGTCTTAACATAAAAAAATTTTTGGGCGGGGTAGTTCTGACAAAATAAAGCAGATAATAAAAAAAAATTTTTCATTTTTTAACTTTATGAAAAAAAAATTGTGGGCAAGTTGTTTTTTTAATTAAAAAATTTGTAACAAGATCTTGAGGGCCGGGTAAGAAAATTTTTATTTTTCAAATTTTTAAAACATTTTTTTGTTTCTTTTTACTAGCTTACCCCTCCCAATAACAATACCGCCCTCCCAAATCCTTTCTTCATCTTATACTGTAACATTCCCTACCTCAATATTATACCTCTTGCTGTTTAATCACCCGATTTCGCTGATAATCATCCACTAAGCGGACGAATTAGAAGCGACGGAAATAATCTCGGGGTAGATAACGGGCTGGGCGGTGACACAAAGTCCAACCAGATAAGAGATATGCAAAAGAGGGGAGTGGGGGCAGGATCATTCCCAATTTTATAGCCATTTGATAAGGCCCCCCCCCCTTCGGTCTGTATTTGCGCCTTTTTTGGATTTTTCTCTCCGTTTGGAGGTTGGATTTTGGTATTACTGATAAGAATTTGATGGTTTATGACATTTAAAATGGCAGAAAAATAGATTTTGAAATTTTTGGTTAAAAATATTTTTTGAAATTTTAAAATTTTTGGCTAGAAATTGATTTTTTGAAATTTGAAATTTCGTTCAAAAAAATATTAAATTCAATAAAGTTCAATTTGAAATTCGCTCCAAAAGATAAGGCTCCGAGTTCAAGTCAAAATTTACCCTTTTAGTCGTATTAATCCCGGTCGTAAGTCAGCCTTTGACTTAAGGCCTTATGACATACGACAATTGGTCCTTAATCTCAAAGCCTCATCGCCGTGGCTCCGCCTTCTTTTCTTCGTTCTACGGCATTCCGGCTTCAGAACGATTTGCGGGGGCTTCGGCACGATGGGTGGGGGTTTTTGAGGGTTTTGGAATGGTGGGTATGAGTGGTATATGCTTGGAAAGATTAGGTGGGGGTTTTTAAGGCTTTGACACGATGGTTAAGGCTTTTTAAAGGCGTTGGCATTGTGGGCATGGGTGTTATGTTTGGCAATCTTGGGTGGATGTTTTGAAGGTTATGGTTGACGAGTAGAAAGTTTTGAGAAAACTAGACTATAGCGCGGTTTGGCACGGTCAGAGCAGGCCTTGGACGCCTTAGAACGGTAGATAGTGGGTTTGCAGACATTGTCATACTTGATGAAATCAATATCTCCTCTTCCCGTCTTGTCACCCCTTACCTCTCCCCCCCTCCCTCCCTTTTATTTCTTCTCCCCCCCCCCTTGACCTACTAACTTCATTTCCCCCTCTTCCTTTCCCCCTCCCCCCCCCCTCCCAACCCTATTCCCCCGGTCCACATCATAAACATAGTCAATTTCTCATAGCCTCCGAATTCTTAAGCCCGTGTGTCAGATCTCGAAAACCGCCTTCTTTTGCATCCTTAAGTCGAGGCCGACCCCCCCCCACCACGCCTCGGTCTCGCTTTTGTCCAGTCGGCTTTCGCGGGACTCCGCGGAACGATGCGGCCCCGGCCGGCTTTAGGGCGTCTTTCGTCTCGTTGTACCGTAGTAATCCCCAACTCATCCTGCTTGTCTCATTCAAGCCTCCCTCCCTTCCCTTTCAGCCGGAGGCGCTATTGGATAAATGGGGATTACGGTAGGGGCAAACGGGTGGTGGGTTTTGAGATGGGGAGGGATGGGTAATGGATAGAGGGTTGGGTAAAACATTTAAGAACGGGGGATTCTTTGTCGGTCTTTCTCGTACCTTACTTAACACTACCCTACCTAGTTTTACCTTGGTTTACCCTGCCCCCGTTTTACCATATTTTGTACTACCCTACCATACTCAGTTCTACCTTATTTCGACCCACTCTACCCTACCATACCGAGTTTTACTCTGCCTTACCGTGCCCTTCTTTAACCTATCCTTTACTACCCTTCCCTCTTTCTAATTGTAAAACTTCTAAGCCAGCCAGTACCCACCCTCAACTCGATATTGTTGTAGCCCTCACCAACCGGACCCGGTTACCCCCGTTCTCCAGATATAAAACAAAGAACGGGGGAACGTCATAATTGTGACGTCGCGCAAAACTAGGCCAAACAGAAGTTGTGTATCCTCCACTTTACGCGTCCGCGGATCTTCTTCATTCATCCAAACATAGACGTAACTTCCGGGGAGCAACTTTCACTTTGGTCATTGTTCTAACAGTTGATGGGGCTTGGACATAGCTTATTTGGAATTGGCTGGTACTTTTTTTGGACTTGGCTAGTACTTTTTTTGACTTGGCTGATAGTTTTTATTGACTAGCTGAGTTTTGTGAGGAGGAATGGGGTAAAAGAGAAGTGAGGGATGGGCGAGGGAGAGGTGAGAAAGGGGTGAAGGAGGACTGAGAGAGGGGTGAAAGAAGGGTGAGAGGGAGGGCTGAACCAGGGATGAAATATAGGGCTGATTTTGAAGTTTAAAGGTAGGGCGGGGTAAATTTTAATAAATTTTAATTTTAAAACGAAAAAATTTTTTAATTTTGAAATTTTGGGTCAGTTTTTCAAAATTTTTCAAGTTTTTTCAAATTTTTTTAAAATTTTTTTTATTTTCTGCAATTTTTTTGAAAATTAAAATTTTAAAAAAAATTAAAAGTGCCCATATCTTACACTACCACATATAAAATGTCACTTTCAAACCCAAAACCCTCGTGTTTTTATGAATATATTATCTATGTTCGTGTCCTTTCGATTTTTTATCCGGATTTTACTGGAATTTACGCCATTTTTTATGAAAATTGGCAATGTTGCGTTAAATTTTTTTTCTTTGTAAACACAAAGCGCGGTTTTTTTTGAGGCAAATAAAAAGCCGGGTCCCAGGTCTACGATTTCTGAAGACTTTGGAGGTGATTTTGGGGCTGATTTGATCTGATTTTTAAGGGTTTTTAAGTTTTAACTTCGTTTTTTATGAATTTTCGTGTCGTTTTTCAAAAACAAATTTCAGAAATTTTTTTTTTAATTTTAGATTTTTTATACTTATTTTTTACTTTTTCGGGGCATATTTTCCATTTATTTAAATATTTTAATTTCTTTTTTAAATTTCAATTTTTCTACGTTTTTTCCGCGTTTTTGCCACTTTAAACCTTATATACCACAATTTTTAACCCTCTTAACTTATTATTTTCTTCCAGGAGTACCCTCAAGTTGGTTCCAATTTAAAAAAGTTCCAAAAAGCATTTTTAACTTTGTCCCAACGGCTTCAAACTGGCACCCAACGACGGAATCGGCGCCGAAATTGGACTGGTGAACGAACCCACGTACTCGATATCTGCCTCTTCAGCATCATCCACAAGTTCTGGTTGTTGTAATCATAGTACACATTCAGTCGAGGCCAAAAGCTGTCATTCTAAGCCTAAAGCATCTCTGGAATTGATACACAACAACTTGATTGACTTGGCCAAACAGAATTTGGTCGATTTGGCCAGAAATTACAAGTTTGAAGCCAGGAATCAGCCTATAGAAGCTAGAAATCAAACTATAGAAGCCAAGAGTCAGACTATAGAAGCCTTGGCCAAAGCCCTGCCTCTGGAAAACTTGGCCAAACTGGATTCCCCTAATATGGCACAGATGTTTCCGATGCGCGTACTGGTCGAGACAGTACGTCCACAGCACTGTTTGAGCTGTGCACATGATGGACAGCCTGTAGCTGATACATTCGCTGTCATTTCTGGTGATACCCAATTGAACAATGTTGTTGACACAGTGCTCAGTACTCTTGGACTGCCACAGTTGATTGCTGATTCAAGGGGTAAGGGTTTTTGATGACTTTATGTAAGGGTAGAGATTATATTAAAATGGAAAAAGTCTTGTCGTCAATTTAAACGGATCTTTATGATGAAAAAGGACAAGACTTTTTGGAAGTAATACAGTAATTAAATTTAAAAAATTTTAAAAAATTGAATTTTTTGCGCTTTTAAAATTCAAAAATTTCATTTTTAAAAAATTTTATAAAATAGTCTATTGTGTCACATTCTCATAACAAGTATAATCCCATTGAAAAGTTAAATTTCCATAATCCTTGCGAGGCCATTATGGCCAGATGTGATCAGTTTTTGTCGACTTTTTCAAGTCTGGCCATAAAAACGAGCCTATAGATGCCTTTTTACAGAAAAAAGTTTTTAAAAAAATTAAAATTTTTTAAAAATCTTTGTTTAGTTAGGTCATAATGACATATTTTTGAAAATATTGTGACCAGGGTTACAATAAGCTTATTAAAATTTTAAAAAATTTAAAAATTGGATCTTATCAGGCCTTTAAAAAATTCTTGTCGTTAATTTATTAAGTTTCAAACGTTAAAAAACGACACAACTTTTATAATGGCTTTGTAATATCGACAATTTCGAATATTTTTAAAAAAATGGCTACAATAGTACTAATAGTATTACATTTCAAAATTTTTTCAAAAATTTTATTTCTGTGACATATTGCTTTAACTATGACATTCTTTCTGTCATATCAGCCAACTATCCTTATTGTCTTCTATACTCGTCCCAAAACAAGATTACCTAATCTTTGTCTTTGTTTTTAAATTTCAAATTTTCTCTAGACTCTCCTCAAATGCCATTCTTTATCATTTGCGGCTTTAAATGCCGTATTTTGGCTAATGTTATCGGCTGAATCAACGTGATTTGCATAAAAAACATTAAGGGATTGCGCAAGAATACAAAAATGGCTTGGCTTAAATTTGAATTTGGCCGAGAAGCTTTCAAATTTCATTTTGTGGCTTGGCATGGGTGGGCGGGGTAAAAAAATTTTGAAAAAAAATTTTGGGGGTGTGTGTGGTGGATAACATTTTTTTGTAACTTTGGAATTGATTTTGAGGTGAAACTTATAAAAATTACAGCAATCTTCTTAAACACTACAGTAACTGTGCAAAAATTACAGTAGCCCGCTCAAAATCACAGTAACCTTTCAAAAATACAGTAGCCCTTTGCCAAATTCATTAAGCCATTGTTCCTTGTGCTGCAAGCTAGATTTACAGACTTATATTACACTAGAGGCCCATTAATTCACATCCCCGCGACATTCGAGCCGGATTTCCCGCTTTTATTCAAATATTTTTATCTCGCCGCGAATGCCCGTGTTTGGCCACAAATCCCGACGACAAATTCGCTGCGCCAAAACGTCGCTACAAAACTGGGTAAACAAACAATAGGCAAAATGGAGGGGGGGGAGGATTTAAATTTGGGACTAAGATAAGGGGTAGGGTAGGGCCAGGACTGGTTTTGGGTAATTTCAAGGGTGGTTTAAAATATGGGCACGGCTAGTCTAGGGTACTGTCAGGGCTGCTTCAGAATAGTGCCGTCGCCCGTCGCTCTTTTTTTCAAATCTGAGAGGTGGGGGGTGAATGGGTAAGGCGATTCCTTTTAAATTTTAACGCTTGAAAACGCCTAAAGATTTTAAATTTAAAAATTTTTTAATTAATCTTATCCTCCCCCATCTCCCACTGTTTCTTCTTCCCAATTTCCGTGGCCAAGTCGGTTCGATTCGGCCATATGACATGGAGAAGAGTGTTTTTGTTGGCCCAAAAGCTTTATTGGCTTGGATTAACCGGCGGAACAAAAGAATGGGGGGATGAGAGAGGGGCAGATCTGTTTATTTTCATTGGATAAAGAGAAGAAATGGCTCTCGCACATTAGAAAGCGACATACGGTAGAGATTAGGGGAGATAAGGACATTTGGAGCGAAAGGCCTTAATGATGGTTTATATCTAAAGCAATATAAAATAGGGATAAAAAGAAATAAAAAGAAAGAAAAGAGTGTAGAAAATGTAAAATACGGGAAACTTGTTCGTTCTTGCCAAATTCTAAAAATTATTTAGAAACCCAATAATTTTTGTGACACTTCGTCTACTTTTCCAATAACTTTCTTAAAATTTGTGACATTTCGTTCACAACTAAAAAATATTTTATAAAAATATTAAAATACGAATTTAACTCCTTTTTCCTTAAATTTCACTAATTTTTCGTACTTCAGGGTTGATCCAAATAAACAATTGGAAACCCTTGTCCTTTGAACAAATCACTGATAACCAAGAAGAATTGGCATCCACCTTGTTCAAGGAAATCTCGAGTAACATTACCCTAAAAATTCTGACCAGACAGTAAGTTTTTACAGCCCTATCAACGTTATAAGGATCTCTTCTACCTTAATTTATATTAAACTTGATATTATTCATGTATACCTACATTATTTTGATCTTTTAGTGGCTCAGTCGACGCACACAGCTCCCAATGCATAACACAATTGAAAGACAGGATCTTGAAGATGGCTGTCGAAAAGCAGCCACAGTTTTTGAACAAGATATACAATCAGGAGATCAAAAACATTGTCCAATCGGTGATTCAGGGGAGTGATGTTACTTTGAACGAGAGTCAGATCAGTGCCATCAATGATTGGATGGATAACATGAACGAGAAGGAGGCTAGGAAAAGGTACTGTTTAACCTTTAATAAGAGTAAAAGTTGCTTACAGTGAAAGTAAAAATGATTTTTTTATTTTTTTGTAAAAAGTGAAGTAACGGAGCCTATTATAATATTACTATCGGTTTTTTGCGGGATAATGAGATGAATAATGTGCGAAAAGTTGTGTTTCTGACCTTGTAGATCATTTTACTAGCCTGTCTCTTCTATAGCATATAAAAAATTAACAAAAAATGAGTTTCGGTACCTAAAATATTGTTATTACCTAAAAATGAACTTTTTTGAAATTTTAAATTTTTTTTTAGTTTTTTTTTAATTTTAAGCTAATTTCTTTCAATTTCAGTCCCTTAAGCGAGCACTGCCGCTTCTCGCCAGTATCAGAAATCCCATTATTGGAACGTTGGTTCAGGAACGACCCCAACCCCTCGAGGCAGAAGCTCCTTTCCTACCTAAAACGCCTCAACGCCGGACCAAATCGCAAGTTCAATCCAGAAGTGACATATCAACAGATCTGTAACTGGTTCACAAAGCAACGTGCCATCGACCGTGAGGCCAAAACCCCCAAGGATTCGAATACGGCCGCTGTTTTAGCTGCGACCGTCCAACAGCTTTCAAATGGCAACAATTCGACCGGTTGGTCCAATAGCTTTGCCCAGCTGTTTCAGAATTCTTTGAATGGTGCTAGTAGTCCTATAAACATTGCTGGCAGTAGTACCACGCCTACACCACCAACGACTAGTACTGCTTCAGCTACTGCTATCCCTATGTCAAGTCAACCGGTCGATATTCGGTCAAAGTTTGCCGGATCTAATGGATACAGCTCGATCTTAGAGGAGGTAAGGGTTAATATTGCTGTATCGATATCAAATATTATAAAATCTTTTTATACCTGTATTTTTACCTATAAAGTTATGTTTAAATTAAAAAATTGATTCTGAACCTTAAATTTTAGAAGGATACTTGAAAAAACTCGTATTTTACTTTAAAAATTTTTAAGAATCTAAAATTAAGTTTTTATTTTAGTGCCAAAGAATTGATGGAGGCTCGGAATCGCCTACGGCAAATGACGATGGTAGTGAACATAGTGCCAGTGAAAATTGTGGATTCGATGGCGATATTAAGGTAGGTTTTTGATTTCAAAAGTGTTTTTAATTAAATATTTATTGTGCAATTAAAAAATTTTTTTAAAAAAAATTTTTTCGGACGCAAAGCCTAAAACAATATGAAATGCCAAAATCTTTTAGGACTCAGTAATTTCTTCTCCCGACCTCTCAATCGACATGAACCCATGTTCTCCTCACCAAGCCAATCAGTCCAACTCCAACCCCACTTCTTCTCAACTGGCTTCCCAAACGGCCGCTGCTGTTGCCGCCCTTCAATCCTTGATGCCAATGGGCATGAACAACTTCACCATGGGCGACTCCACCCAACTAGCTCAACAACTGGCCGCGGCTGCCGCTCAGAGCCAAGTTAGTCCATCTTCAGCTTTGTCCAGCCTGATCTACACCTCTTCGGCGAACACAACCTCCGCCCCCTCCCAGGTACGACAATCCACTCCCGCCAACTCGAATAACAACTCGGGGCAGACTCAGGCCAGAAGTCGATTAATGTTCGACCCACTAAGTGAACTGCCAATTCTGGAGCGATGGTTTGAAGAGAACCCACATCCAGGCTGGCTACAGATCGAGCAGTACACAGAATCACTTAATGGTCTACCTTACCGACAGAACTACCCACCCATTTCGACTCACAACGTCAAGATCTGGTTCAAGAACCGAAGAGCCAAGTGCAAGAGGCTAATGACAGCGAACAGCGATATTAAACAAGACAATAGGATGGACATCAGCTCCGAACTCTTCAACGACATCAAAGGCGGTGATTATTAAGTTTGATATAGGGAGTGTTTGGTTGGCTTTTGACATTTAAATTTAAAAAAGATTAATTTTGTGGTTTAAAATGTGGTGAAACAGTTTACAAAGGCTATAGATTTAGAAAATGACTTTTTGGAACTTTTTTTGTTCATTTTTTAAAATATTTTTTAAAATTTTTTAAAATTTCAAAAAAAACTTGAAGCCGGCCAACCCTAACCCAAAAACTTAAAATTTAATTTTCACTTTAACATCTGCCAAATATGCAAATCCCAGTTGTTTTTTTAATCAAAATGTTGTTTTTTTTTCAGGTTGTTCAAATAATTCTGACCCACTTAATCTCGAATATTTGCTTTGAGATTGGCTCAGAATTATTTGAACAGCCTTTATATGTCATTAGTATCTAATGTGTAGCTATGCGTCTCGATGATCCCATTAAAAACATCTCATAAAGATATATACAAAAAATTGTTGTTTCTTCCATTTGAGTACGTGTTTCCGTCGAATCCGGTGCATTCGGTTTTCACTTTAATTTACCGCGAATCTTACTGTAATTTTTGAAATTTTAAATTTTTTTTGATTTTTTTGAATTTTACTTGCTTCTGGTTATATTATCTACTATAAATGGCTATTTTTGAAGTTTTTATATATATTTTTACTTGTTTTGCGCTTGTACTGCAACTTCCAATCTCTTAAAGATATATCTTGGCTAATTTTACTACGTTTTCATTGTTTTTCACTGCTCTGTAACTTTAAATATCATCGAAAGTTTAGATACGCCATAGTGTTATGTATAAACTTCTTTTGGCATTTTTTTTAGTTCTAGGGGGTTACTGTATTTTTTTAATTTGACTATGTTACTGTAACTTTTATCTTTTTATTGGATTTTGATTGAAGTAATATTACAGTATGAAAAGTTACAGTATATCCAAAAATTTTAACAAAGCTACAGTAACCCGCTTTTTCTTTACAATTACTAGGTCTGAATATTGTCGTATCATCATTTCAACTACCTTGCACCACATTCTTACCGCTCCGTCTCCAAACAGGGTGACTTTAACATACGTCCATTTGTTTTGTTTTCTCCAGATATATTGATGGTAATGTATAAGATATATTTGTATTTGAACAAAGATTTTATTCATAAACAGATTCAAACGAGACTTTGGAGATTTTTTTACTTTGCGCAAGATATTTTAGGTATAAGAAGTAATATCCAGTTGTTCAAATAATTTTGCTTGGCCCCTAACACTGAATTTGCTGTGAGATGTGGCACAGAATTATTTGAACAATTTGAACAACCTCATATAAAATCGGCCAAGTATTAGATCAAGCTGCGCCCAATATTTATCGGCCCAAGAATAAAAAATATTTTTCTCGCGATATTGTTTTAGGTTGCAGATGATTTTATAGGTTTATTATATCTTTTTGTTACTTATTCTAGAGTTTTAATGTTGTTTTAATATTTTAAAAGGTATTTAGATCAATATATACCAAATTTTCATTTGTTTTATTAACTTTTGTTGACATAGACAGATCTATTTGATATGACAGCACAAAACGTGTGTTATCTCTTTGACTAGGCAATACCTGTGACGATATAACGAAATTAAATTATTCCTTAGCTGTTAATATTGAAATTTATTAGATTTTATACCAAATTTTTTGTTTTCTGGCCAAGATACACCAAAATGTTGTAGCATTTAGTGGAACGATGGCTAAATAGATCAGTAGATCTAATTTTCGCTGGTTTCAAGTCTATAACGGTGAAGTAGAACAAACACACGTTAGATGGGAAAAATTTCAATTTAATTGTGGATATAATGGGCCACATATTCCTGATTTAGGTAATAACCAACACTCAATAACTTCAACATCAAATATTTTAAAGGTAAATCAATATTTTTTTTGGTTTTTTGTATTTAGGAGCTGCATACGATTGTGGAGAATGTACAAAAGGTTCTGGAAAGTATTTTACAAACTTTACACGTAAAATTTTATTGGCCTATCTGATGTAAGAGCGCAAAACTTTGATTTTTTACAGAAAATTCATGAAATTTGGACAAACAAACCTTGTAAAGTATATTCTGAAGTGACAAATCTCAAATTCAATTGAAATGGTCATTTGGTTCATTATTAAACGCAGCGGACGGTCGGTTGGAACAGTATGCCTCGAGATGGGATAAGAAATAAAAATTCAGAAAAGTTTTCGAGCAAAAGTAGCGAACTGCCAAAGGATGGTCAAGATGCTGGTGTCAGGGAAGGGCCCAACCCGGTGGATGCTGTTTGTAAGTTCATTTTATGGAAATTAAAAAGAAATAAAAATTTTCAAAAATCTTTTTTTTTTCCATTTAAAGATTTGATCAAAAACTTTTTAACAATAAGTTAATTACTATTAACAATTCAGTTGAAGAATACGATGCAGATCCCATAAATCAGCGTCGCAATGACACAATTTCCAAGCTTTTAAAGACTAAAAACCTGGACGAGCTGATTCCGCCGCCGGAGGTGAAATACGACGTACAGTCTACTCAATCATCAGGAGCTTCGGATCAGAACTCCAGATTCACGTACGGCTACACAGTGGAAATTACGGATTCCTTCTACAACACAAAACACGAATATGTGCTGGGGCGACGGCTGGGCAAGGGCGGGTTTTCTGAGGTAGGTTTTGGGATTTTCTAGAGTAAGCTAGGGTATAGGTAGAGTAAAAAAATTGGGATAAGTTAGAGCATGGTAGAGTAATTTAGGTAACAATAGGGTTGATTTAGGTAATTTTTTATTGTTAGAGCAGGGTAGCGCGATTTAGGTGTCACAGAGCAGGGCATGGTAATTTAGATAATGGTGGGGCAGGATAGGGTTTTTTTTGTATAGAAGATATAAACTCTATTTCTAGGTAAGAATAGCAAAAATGGTAGGCCGACCAGACTTCCCCAAGCTCGCCATGAAGATTGTGGACCTGAAGAAACCGAAAGCCAGTCGAATCGAACGCCAACCTTACTGGGAGATCGAGCTGCTGAGGCGAATGGAGCATTCTCATCGTGTGATACGACTTTTTGAATCGTGTGTTATTTCATACTTTATAAAAATAGCATTTTATGGTATACTTTCTTTAATAAGAGTTATTTTTTGAGCGGGGTAAAAATCTTGTTAGGGGATGGTTTTGAAGTTTTAAAAATTTTTGTTTTTATTTTATAAAACGTTATTCGAAAAATGAATTTAAAAATATTTTCCAGAAAAACCCTAGAAGACGATGTGTTATTTATGGTGCTGGAGATGGCCGGAGGGTCTTTGGAACATTTTGCGCGGAAAAAGATTGGGAATCGAGTCGGCTTTGCCAAACATTACTTTCGATGCTGTGTCAAATGTGTATTGGATATTCATATGGAAGGTATGTCACATTCGGATTGGTTTTAAGTTAACTTTTTTTTTGCTTTGGAAATGTTTCATCGTATAAAATGTTACTTGCAGGCTGCAGAAGAGTAGCGTGTTATTTTTTGATGAAGTAAAGTTGAAAAATGACAGAAATAGACATGACTATACCTTTTTTATGTTAATTTATACATTCTCGGTCATTATTTTAGGTATATTTCATCTCTATATCTTCAGATATTCTCCATTGTGATATAAAGCCAACCAACTTTATCAAAAGTGGCAAAATGTTGAAAGTGATTGACTTTGGGTGTGCGACTCCGTTAGGTCCACTAAATGATGCCATTATTAGGAAGAAGGCTTTAGGCACGACAAGATTCATGTCTCCAGAATACCTGAAGGAGAAGATCGCTTCGAAGGCTTTGGATGTATGGTCGTTAGGATGTATATTATACTGGTTAGTCACTGGTCAGAAGATATTCAAAGACCCGAAAATTTATTTGAGAAAGGCCATTTGTTATAAACAAGCTGATCTTTCAGCTGTTAAGAGTACCGAGGCTCATGATCTTCTTAAGGTAGGGGTTTTGGAGTTTGATATATTTGCTTGCCTTAGTCCTAGCCTTGCCCTGCCTTATCTCTGTATTAGCTCTCACTTAGTTCCGCCCTAGCTCTAACTTAGCCGTAGCTCTGTCTTAGCTCTGATCTGACTTTAGCCCAAACTTTGATTTAGCCTTGGCTTGGTCTTGCCGTAGCCTTGCATTAGCTTTACCCTAGCCCTGCTATAGCCATGCCCTATTACTGCTCTAGCCCTGTTTTAGTTCTGTCTTAGTCTTGCCTTGGTCCTTCTCTAGCAATAGTAGTCTTCCTCTATACCTGGCTTAGCCTTGCTTTAGCTCTATCCGTGATATTACAGTAATTTTGCTTTTTATCAGTTTTTTTCTATATATTATGTTTTTAGCAAATCTTTGAACACGACAGGAAAAAACGACCGAATTGCGACGCTATTCTTAATCATCCATATCTATCAGGTAACATTTGAAATCAATTTTTAATTTTTTTAAAGTTAGGCTTATTCATTGACTAACGTACTCTGCCTTTCAAATATAGAAAACAGTGAAGATATTTTTGTGGAGTTTAATTTTAAATTGTTTTCAAAATTTTGAAATGTTTGATTTCAGCAGCAAACGATGCTTCGTCATCCACCGGCGGCCACAGCGAAAGCCAAGACGCATTCAGTGTTAAAGACAAGGAAAAGAGCAAGAGAGCTCCTCCATAGCCTTATCACTAGTGGATTCTGAATAAACATGGATTGTTTTTGTTATCATTATTTATATATTGAGGTTTATATGCCTTGCTGTTAATTTTTAGATTTTTTTTTGTAATTTTGCGGCTATTTTCTTTTGTTTTTTTGCACTGTACGACTAAAACTTTGAAGTAAAAATGTTTATTAAAGTTAAAGAGCAATAACAATATGTTACATAAGAAAAGAGATCAATAGAACTTGAAAAAAGTATTTAGGCACAATACTGTAGTTAGTAGGAGTACTGTGATGTTAGTAGAAGAGAAGGAACTCGAGTTTCCTAAACTGAGGTAATAGTAATACTGAAAGGTCTTACGAATATGGTCGTTACACCGATCGATCGAACATATTTCCATTATGTAAAACTTTTTGGCCGCAACTTCATTGATTATCCCGCCCTGGAAAGAAAGTTTCTTCGGCTTTTTTGTTGGTAAACAGGTTTTTTAACCTAGCTTACTTTGCTGTAATATACCTCAAATTACTCTGTTCTACCCTACTCTACTTTACCCCGCCCTACCCTACCCGGCTCCGCCCTGCCCAACCCTACCTTATCTTAATCTACTCTACCTTACTCTACCCTTCAGTATTCAAACTTACCATACCCTATTTTAATACAGTATCAATATAATAACCTACAGACAAAACATCCTCGGCAGCACATCCAGAAACTACAGTATCATCACTGGCGTTATATACATAAGCGATAGCACAAGCCGTAGTACATGGTACCAAAAACCGTTTACTGATGTTGGTGGTACCACAATCAGGACTAGTCTTTTGTAACGCGAACTTCTTCATTGAACTCGAGACTTCAGAATCTCGAAAGTTGAAAAGAAGATCAAAGATGTCATTATCAGTGCCTTTTGAACATTCATAACATTGTTCGTCTACAGCACCAACTGGTACTGAGTGAATGGTACATGAAAATAGTATCAATAGTACTGAAGGTAATAAGGTAGGGGTTTTAAATTTAAGGAGATTCTGTTTAGTTAATAAAGATGTTGTAGTAGGTAGTGATACAGCTTTACGAAGGAGTAATGATATAGTAGGCAATAACATAGCATTATTAAGAATTAAAGATATTGCGGTGGTGTAAAATAAAGATGTTCTAGTAGCCCATGAAACATCACTAGAAGAAAGTAAACATATTGTAGTAGTCCATAAACTGACAGTAGAATAAAGCAAAGATGTAGTAGATGACATTGATAAAGTCATGGTTCAAAATCCATAAAATCGACTATTTTTGTTTCAATGACAAAATAAAATTCTCGCTTCGCTCGGATTAGTCATATCAAACAGGCAATAAGCAAACATTGCCTAAGGTATTACGCCGAGCGTTTAGGCTAAAAAACCATTGCTTTTGACTGGTTTTTATGTACAATAATATATTTAAAAAAACGTAATATGAAATACTAAAATGAGTTCTTCATTTTTAAAGCGTAGTAATTTTTTAAAATTTATAGTATTATATTTTGGCCACAGGACCGAGTTCATGAGGAAAGTTCTCAACCAGCCCCGCTGTGATTGACTTGAAACTTTTCATATTGAGAAATCGGGTCAGGAACCGTAGGTACGGCCTATAGGTAATTGTTAATTCTCCCTGTGGCGTTTGGAAAGAAATTTCAGCAGTGACAAATTTTCAAAAAATTTACATATTTTTTAAATTTTAAAAAATAACAAAATGAAAAATATTATTTTTTATCGCATTTTCTTTCGAAACCAAAACAAAGCCATGAACAAAACTTTTTCTAAACTCCCCATTCCATTCTCATACTCGTTCATTGCATCGGCGGAGAGCGGTTCGGTTGTTCCACTCCATCCAAAATGGCATCCACTCCTCAGCCCGTCATAATGCAGGCGCCGCTTCTTAACACCAACGCGCCGTTGGCCAAGCTCGACTTGGACGAGTTGATTTGCAAGATCCTGAACGTGGGTTCGCCAGGCTGTTCGTTGACCAAGGTGGTCCGTGAGACCGAGATCATTCAGTTGTGCATGTCGGTGAGAGAGGTGTTTTTGCAGCAGAGTACCCTGCTTGAAGTTGATCCACCGGTCAAGATTTGCGGCGACACTCATGGGCAGTAAGTTTTTATTTTTACCTTGGGCTAAATCTTTCGTTGCGGGACCTAAACTTGGCTTCTGAAACTTTGCTTTGTCTAGTAGGCTCACTTTCAAGTATGTTATAGAGGAGTTTGTAATATTATAAAGGACTTCCACTGTATATTTATTGACTATTTTGGTGTCTAAACCTTAAAAATAATATTGTTTTGCATAATTTTTACTTAGTTCTTCTTGATTTTTTGATATTAATGTTGTAGGTACTCGGATGTTATGCGGTTATTTGATCGAGCAGGCTTTCCGCCGTCTGTGAATTACTTGTTTTTGGGAGATTACGTGGATCGAGGACGGCAGAACATAGAAACAATTAGTCTTTTCTTTTGTTACAAAGTAAGTTTTTATTAGAAAATTTTAAAATATTTTTTTAATTTATATTTTATGTCATTGTTCTAGTTAATGTGATATATTGTTGTAGCTCAAGTACCCAGACAACTTTTTCCTGCTGAGAGGGAACCACGAGTGCTCGGCAATCAATCGTGTCTACGGCTTCTTCGAGGAATGTACTCGACGATACCAAAGTGTTCGGTTGTGGCAGACCTTCCAGGACGCCTTCAATGCTATGCCATTTGCTGGACTGGTTGGAGGTAAGCTAGTTTTACTTAGGGTTAGGACTAAAGCTAGGAATAGAACCAGGTATAGGGCTAAAACTAGAGCCAAGTCTCGGAATAAAGAAGGATCAAGCCTAAGCTGGGGCTAGAATTGGAATTGACTAGACTAGGGGTGGGGCTAAGCTAGGGATGGGGCTAAGCTAGGGATGGGGCTAAGCTAGGGCTAAGGCTAGTGCTGGCTTCTTCTAATTTTTTTTTAAAATTTAAGTATGATTCATAATATTTAGGCAAGATCCTATGTATGCACGGTGGATTGTCGCCTCAACTCAAGAACCTCGATCAACTGAGAACTCTGACTCGACCGGTCGATCCCCCAAATCCATCGCTGTACATTGACATTCTCTGGTCAGATCCGGATTCGTATATCAAGGGATGGCAGCCAAACACTCGAGGCGTGTCTTATGTGTTTGGGCCTGATGTGGTACAATCGTCAGAGGCCGTTTTGGACATTGATCTGATCGCTAGGGCTCATCAAGTGGTGCAGGTGGGGGTTTTAGGTTTAAAAAATTTAAAATTTTTTTGAATTTTGAATTTTTTTTGAAAGACTGACTTTAATGACATTTTTAGGTGTATGTCTTTTTTAAATTTTAAAACTTTCGTATTTTAGGACGGCTACGAGTTTTTTGCAAATCGCAAGTTGGTCACCATCTTCTCCGCCCCACATTACTGTGGCCAGTTCGACAATGCTGGTGCCATGATGAATGTGGATGAGGGTCTGACTTGCTCCTTCACCATCTTCAGACCCACTACCAAAGCTATCCGTCTGTCGTCACTTCCGATGCAAGGACAATTCAAAAGGGAATGATAAGCCGATCACCGATTACTGAACTTGAAATAAATTTTTTTAAATGTAAAATACGGTTTTTATTAGTATCTTTTTAGTAGGATTGGGATGAAATGGTGCAGTAAAGTTGGGTAAGAGTGAGTATGATAGAGTAGGGTAAGGTAAGATAGAGAAAAACAAAGTATATTTGATACCATGAAATCGTACCGTCCGAGAACCCGATCTATCATTTTCCTGACATCGAACTCGCTTCTGTTCCCTACCTTAAACAACGTATAACTCCAGACTTCAACGGCTTGGTAGGGTAAGAAAAGACGTTTGATAATCTTTACTGTGTGTAATATATTATATATTTTGTAGACTTCAGCTTGACATAGAGGACCGGTTTATTTAAATACCAAACCAAAAGTATTACTATAAATCTTTACTTTCATCAGCAATATCAAAACGAAGGTACTGACATTTTATGTCAATATTAATGTTATGTTTTAAAAAATATGTAAAATTTAGAAACCTGTAAATTTGTTAGCAATCATGTACAATGTAAATTAAAAAAGAAAGTTATATAACATATTATCCTATACAAATGTAAAGAATAGTATTTTGCATGCAATATTATTCTCTATGCTAATATAGATAACATTCAGTACAGATATTTTTAAAATGAAATTAAATTCGGTAAAGGACTATAAATATACAGCTAAATAGCAAGACAAACTCAATAAAATACCAATGGATAACATATGTACAACAACCAAACAACCGTCAATGCAACATAGAATACTACTCTAGCTATCTTGTACCTGTTACTGCCCAACTTTTTCACAATTTCATGGCCAAACCTCTCTTCGGCCAACAAAAACAATAACAAGATGGATGAGATTGACATGAAGATGAATGCGAATACCTTCAAATGGATCAGAATAATCAATAGTGACGTTTTGCGGGTAAAGTTGATCATGTCAATAATGCTCCATCCCAGTTGGATACGTTGATTCGTGGGTGTGGTATGTTGGAAGAAGTGGATGCATGACCTGGTTGGGGCACAAGCCAGCTCTGAGAAACTGTAGAGTTGCTCGGGTTTTGTTACAGTAACCGGCCAGAGCTCGTAGAGGGTGACGGAGAATAATATACATGTCATTAACTGAAAAGGTAAAATATTATAAGGTACGGTAGGGAAAGGTAGAGTAAGGTAGGGTAGGGAAAGATAGGATAGGGTAGGGTAAGGTAGGGTAAAGTAGGGTAGGGTAGGGTAGAGCATGTTAAGGTTGGGTAAGACAAATTATAGTATACTAATTACTGTAGTCTAGCTCCAATTACTCACGGAATATATAACAATAGGTAACACCGGTAATCTGTTATGTCTGGCTTGTTGTTTAGATACTACCGTACAACCAAAGCACAGTGCTGCCAACAGCAAATGTGGTATTGTAACAACCAGAATCAGCTGTATCACATTGTAGAACAATGCCATTCGACTTAGCGTCTTTACAGTACACTGAAATTTAGAAAATATTATCTAAAAAAGTGTCAAAAATCAGTTTTTAATTCTTTTTGAGCCCTATGGTACTATTTAAAAAGAAATGGCATTTTACAACCAGCCTAAAGTAAAGAGTAGAGTAGTAGAGGAGCCGAAGCCAAGAAGTAAAATTATCTTACGAAAAACTTGTTGAGAGAATTGTAAAAATTGTTTTCGTCCAGCAGATCACTCTCATCGTTAGCATGATCTTCTGTCAATGGAGTTTTGGCTGGGAGAACGTTGGACGGACTGGGTGAGGTGTCTTCTGGCAAGTATAACTTGAGACGTACTGAAAAATTATAGTCAAAATACCTTTTGCACAGTTTTAAACATCCTTCATAAAGTGTTAATGAAGTTAGGAAAAAGCAGTGTTGGACGGGTATTTTTCAACGAGAGGTTCAAAAACAAAAATTTTCAAAAAAAAAGTTTTTTTTTCAAATTTTTTCGAAATTTTAAATTATTGTTTTTCAAGTAATTCTGCGCCCCCTAACCTTAAAAAGATGCTTTGAGAAGGGGCTCGGAATTATTTTAACAACCTAATGTAAAATGACAAATTTTTAAAAAAATTTTTCAAAGGTGGGTCAAAAATTTTTTTTAAAATAAAAAAAATCTTACCATGCCCACCATTGTTAGTCTGCGTCGTTCTATGTGGTATTAGCATTTCTGCAAGAATCTCAATCTTAAACCAATCTAAAAATGCCAAACATGTAAATCAAATTTAATAATCTAATTTACTATAAAGTAAAGGTAAAATATGCAATTCCATTTATTGAAATCCCAAAAATTCGCAAAATTTAGCACGCGAGACATTCAATACCTAAAAAACGGGCTTCAACTCATATTTGGAGTGTTTTGAAAATAACAACAAACAATGTCATTGACACGTATGTGTTATTTACAGCATTTCGAAAGTAATTACAGACAAAATACGTTAATAATATGGATTGTCATAACGAAGTGGAGAGGGAAAACAGCTGGAATTTTTGGAGTTTTGCAAGAGTTATTAAAAAAGAAGTGTCAAGTGTCAGGTTATTAGCTGTTTTTGCAAAAACAAAGTCTCCTAAAGCTTAAGCTAAATATCCTAGAGCTAGAACTCAAGCTAAAACTAGTGTTAAGTCGTTCAAATAATACTAATTTTAAATCTAGGGCAAAGGCTGAAGATAAGACTGATTCTAGGACTAGATCTGGGGCTAGAGCTAGAGCTAGGGATAATGCTAGGACTAGAGCTAGAGCTAGAGCTAGAGCTAGGGATAGAGCTAGGGCTGTGGTTGATGCTAAGGCTTCGAATTTAGCTAAACCTAGGGGTCAAACTAAGACTAGAACTAAAGCTAAGGCTAACACTACGGCTAATACTGAAATCAAAGCTAAAGCAAAGCTAATTCTAAAGCTAGAGCAAACCTATAGTAAGATATCATGTCACTAACAACAGCAAAAACAACTAGTATAACATGAAAGAGCATTATGTTCCGATTGGCAAAGATTTGTCAACAATAACTACAATTGAACCCGGAGAATAACCTTTGCTAAAAACTTCCTCGTCTCTAAAATTTGTTTTCCTTTACATTTCTAACAATGGCAGTGCTAAAAATCTGTAAATCTGTTCGAATGACGTCGAAGGAACTGCCAAAAGTCTTTTATTGTTAGAAAAAAACTTCCAGAAACGCCAAAGTTTAATCTAAGGACGTCACATAAACATGTTACAATTGGTTTTGCGGATTTAAAAATTTGGTTTTTAAGTTTTAATTTTAAAAAATTAAGTTTTATAAACCAGCTACTAAAAACACAAAAACCTACCATACACTACATGCCTTGCTGATTAGGCATAAGGCTATAAGTATGGCTATAGATATTAATCAGGCTATGGCTAAGACTAAAGCTAATAATAAGGCTAATTCTAAGACTAACCCTAAAGCTAAAAGTAAAGCTAAAGCTAAAAAAAAACTGACGCTAAATCTAGAGCTAAGACTATGATTACGACTGAAGCTAGGGCCAAAACCAAGAATAAGAACAAGGCCAAGACAAAGAATAAGGCTAATGCCCAGGCTAAGTCTAAGGGTAAAGCTAAGGTTCATGCTCAGGCTCAGGCTAAGGCTAAGACTAAAGGCTAAGTTTAAGGCTAAAAATATGGCTAACTATTGCCTTTTTAAAAACCGGAAATTACAAAGTACCCATACCTATAGCACTATTAAATCAGTAGTTTTTTTCAGAAACCATCGTTAAGTTTAAACATTAGTATGCCCAGGTGACTAGTATAACTAAACAATTATATGTGTTTACGTAATACCTCTACCACGTTAGCTTAATCAACTGAGTTATTTACTGAGTAAAAATAACCCTGTAATATTTATACATACACATGAACATGTTTTTACTTCTACTTCCTAACTATCAACATGAATTACCTCTACTTCCCTATAAAGAAGTAATATAGCTACTATCTTAACATAAAAATGCATTACCTGTGCTTCCCAAATATAGAAAAGTAATACCTCTACTACCATAACATAAAAAAGTAATACCTCTACCACCAAAACATAAACAAATATAATCATAGTAACCAGTAATCGCCCAAATATAAATACATTTCCACGTATTTCACAGTAAATCATCGTACTTTTACATAATAAATACAACTATTTTGGGGCTTTTTAACTGTAACTAGGCGTAGAATAAGTTAAGGCTTTGAAAGAACCATAATTAATGTAAAGAATAACAAAAAACAAAGTTCAAACTTGAAAATGAGTCAATAACAAGGAGGTTAAAATTTTTTAGTAAAAAAATTTTTTTACACTAAAGTTAAATTAAAAGCTTTAAAAGATATGTTATTACCATTATCGAAAAAACAAAACAAAGATTTTTTTATATTATAGTAAGTTCTGGATATGATTAGCAAAATATTTTTCTTTCAGCCTCAAGCGATCTAGTTGTAGCACTAGTTCTAGTGATAGCCCTAGCTTTAGCCCAGCCTCAAGCCCTAGCCCTATCTGTAGCACTAATACTTGCCATAGCCCTAGCTTTAGCCCAGACTTAGTCTAGTCTTAGCCCTAGTTGTAGCACTAGTTCTTGTCATAGCCTAACATTAACACAACCTTAGCTTAGCCTTTGCCAAAGCCTAAGCTTCAACCCTGTGAAGCATATAAATGTATTCTCTAAAACAATATGAGCCCATGTTGTCACATCCTTTGTGCCCAACTTTGAACCCTGTTCAAGCCGAAGCACCGAAGACCATAACATGTGTCACAAACGGGCCTCAAAACGCAAAAAAAACTTATTTTTCAAAAACAAATTTTACCCCAGCTATCTACCGTCTCTAAGCATTTAAAATTCAATCTCAATTTAAATTTCAAATTCACATAAATTTAAATTTAAAAATTTGAAAAATAATTCCAAAACGTTCGAAAAACTTGAGCAGACAAATTGACTTGACCGTGCCGTGCTTTTTCCGCCCGACCCAAGTGGAGGGCTCTTTTGCCCTGAGGCCATGAGAGAAATGTATTTACTTTTTCGTCTCCGTGCCAGCGAACGTTCCCTCAAAGTTTGGCGGCAGATTTGCTTAAGCCCTGTAGGTTTAGTGTGATTTTCATGCGAATACATGTTTAATATTGCGGGCAAAGTCACGTTTCGGCCAAGCGATAATATACGATAGGGTCTTGTGATAATACGGTATAAGATTAGAAAAAGTATTAAGGTATTTTAAGGTAGCAAAAGTTGCTGAATTTGTAATAACGATGATAAATGTTAAGAAGATATTGAGATGGAAAAAGTATTAGCCAAAAAGGAGTGTGATCTTGCAAAAAAGTAAAGAAACTTGATATTTTTAGGTCTTAAAAGGCCAAACTCAAGATAAACATCAAGTTTAAAATAATTACAAAGTAAGAAAAAGCTTTTGAGAATCAGTAGGAGAGTGACAAAAAAGTCTTGTCGCTTTTTATCGCGCAAATCATTGATAAACAACGACATTTTTTTTTATTTTTAAAATTGCAAGTGTTTTACTGCCCTACCCCAGACCAAATTGCCTTGTCTTGCCATTGCTTTACTTTTGTCCTATCCTTGCCAAACCCTTGCCCTACCTTTGCTTTACCCTTTTCCTACCCCGCTCTACTCTACCTAACCTTCTCTATCTAACCTTACTTCTCTAACAATAATGAACAATACACGCTCCAACAACCCTCCTTTTTTTATAATGTTCAAATACGTGCCATACCCAAATCAAACTTCTTTTTTCCCCTTCCATAGAATCACTTTCATTTAAATTCCAAAAACGGTATTAAAAATTTAGAATGCAGTCTGAGCGGAAACGGCAGACAATAGAAAACGGTGGCTTATGAGTAGTAATTAGAGTAAAGTAAAAATTGGGTAAATAACAGCAAAGTCTACTTAGAGAGATTAAAAGCAAAAGATTCCCAAGACGTTTCACGTTATGAGAACTTCCGTCTGTGACGTCCATGGTGGGGCTTCGTATGTTATCTTTATGTATAGTAAATAAAGGGTATTGAGCTTTGTGAAGTGGCTATTAAAGAATGTGAAAAGAGAGTGTAAAATAATACATATACGGTTATGTTACAGTTCGAAAAGCTAAGGGTAAAGACAAGTTCTCTAAGAATTATAAAGTCATTTTTGAAAAATTCAAAATTTAAGAAAATAAAGATTAAAATGTCACATTTCTAGTAAGTCAAAAACTAATAATGTCATAAATGGTATCAGTTCGTACTGCGAAGCAAAGTAATGAAATATACTCTGCATTAGGGAATTAATATAACTAATGCGAGTACACATACTGCTTATTCATGATAATCTTGTTTATCAACCAAAATGGTTATTTTTAAACTGTCATGAATAGAAAATGAAAACGAGATATCGATTTAGAATTGACAAGGTACAGACTAGACAAAGTATAGTAAGTTAGAATAAGGTAGAAAGTAGAGTAGTGCAAAGAAATGTAGGGTAAAGTAAGATTGATGGTAAGGAAGAGTCGAAAAGTTCCAGCAGGACAAAGCAAGACAGGGCATGACAGGGTAAGGCAGAGCAGGATAAAGTAGGGTACGGAACAACAATGCAAGGCAAGGTAGGTCAAGACAGAACAAACCAGAGCAATGTAAGACAGGGTAGATTAGGGTAAGGTAGGGTAGGATAAGGTAGGGTAATTTAGGGTAGAGTAGGGTATAGTAGAGTAGGGTAGGGTAGGGTGGGGTAGGGTAGGTTAGGGTATGGTATGGTAGAGCAGGGTATGGTAGGGTAGGGTGGGGTAGGGTATGGTAGGATAGGGTAGGGTATTGTAGGGTAGGGACTTAGGTTAGAGTGGAGGAGAGTAAAGAAGTCATAGTTTACTTCAAACCATTACTTTATGTAAACATTTATTTTACTGAAGCAAAAACGGTAACAATAATAAACAATAAAGGTTGGTTTTACTTTGTAAAAGTAATCATATAAACAAAATAAGAATGGACGGAAGCAAAAGCATCTGTACAATTTCCTGCAATTCAAAATTGGGCAATCATGACTATTATAAGTGTAAAAATGTAATATCGTCATAAGAATGAAGATTAATATAGTATGGAAGATTGAAAAGAACAATAATCATATTTTTAAAATTTTTGAAAAACAAAAATTTTTAAAAAAGTTTAAAATTTAGAAAACAGTGTACCATAGAGATTGGATAGTAACGTACCATTGAATACAGAGCAAATAGAGCATATTTAACAGTAAAAACTAAAGATATTAGAGATAGTAACATAAAAAATATAGTCCAGATACCTAATATTATAGAAAGATAGTAAGATAACATTATAGACGTTCGATGTTGAGATTAGTTGAGAGAAGTTATTTTATTTTACATTTTCCTGGCCTAACAGTTTAAAAATGGACTTTAAATAAAGATTCTTAAATAAAAGTTTTGCGAAGAAATTTGTTTTACACAGAAACCGAAAATATTACCGGTAAAGAAATTATTTTGAGTATGAGCTAGATGGATAATTAGGCCTAACTCACAAGAATTGGCTGGCTTATCAATGATTGAAACTATAATATTAGACGTGCTTAGACTTGTGCTGTTTTCTGCTTTTAAATCCAGAAATATCAAGGCGTATTAGAGGTTAAATCATAATTTATGATAAAAGATATCTCCAAAAAAGCGTATTTTACCCTCTTTTATCAAAAATTGGCTCTTTTTTTCAATTTCTGACCCCTTTTTTACCAAACCATCTTTTACAAAGGGCTTATAAACTCAGTACCAATACAAAAACATTGAACAAAGACTATTAAAAAGAAATCTCATGCGTTATCTTTAGTTGAAAATTGCACGTGCCAAAAAATAGTAACCAATCTATGACAATAACAGCATTTTTAACGCAATATCTGCCATTTTTCATTAACAATTATTAAAAAATGGCATGTAAACATAGGTACAGAAGCTGCCATACCACATTACATTCTAAAAGCCAATAAAATCAGTCAATAAGAGCTAAGAAAACTAGTTAGTATCCGAGAATAGTCCAGAACATAGCCAAGGCCATTATCAATAGAAAGCCAAGAACAGTCAAGAAAAGCCAAGCCCTGTAGTCAAGATATTACAGCATCTATTTTAAAATTTAATTCCAATGACATTCAAGATACGAGGTGGGTACAAAGCCTTCCAACAGAGTCTTGGAATGTCGTACTCGAGTCCATCCGTCTCCTTGGCCGTCATCCTTCTCCAACAGATATAGTTCATCACCGGCTTGCATTGAAATTGTGGTTCCATCGCCTCCGGCACTTTCAAACACGTACAAAGCTTTACACGTTCCGAGGATTGGCAAGTGTTCGACAGCGTCGGTTTCTTCGTAGATTTCTGGAGATTCGGAGATGCTTACTGGTTTTGTAGATTCATTTGAATTCGAGGCAGTTTCGGCCGCTGAATCAATGTGAGGGATATAGGCTAGTGAGGAGTTTACTGTGGAGTTGAGGCCTGGGGCGCCGTTGGTTGAGTTTAGCGTTGAGCCATTTGTTGAGCCTTGAGCTGAGCCTAGAAAAGTCAACAAATTTAAAGTTATATTTTCGTTGGTAAAATACGATTGGCATCACTTTCAAATCAAATTTAAAAAAAATATTTTAAAAAATTTACAATTTAAACTTAAATTTAAAAAATATTAAAAATCTACACTTTAAACCTAAATTATCAATAACCTAAACCAAACTTAAACTAAACTCACTTCCCAACCCTCCATTCCTCTTTGGCATGCCCATGATAGCACTTCCATCCGACGAGATACTATCTTCACTATAACTGGCTCTTTTTCCAATGAATCCATTCGATCCATTCAAGGATGAAATGCTTTGAACTCGAGGTGAAGACGATCCGATTGATCCGTTTGAAGGTAAATTCAGTTCAGCTTGAGCATCCATTAAAAGTTTGGCATATCGGCTTCGCTGATCGACTAGATGATTGATTTCGCTTTGGAATTCGTTGATTTGTTGATCCACATCGGCCGCGTTGCCTAGCTTCGGGTTCTCCGTGTATACCGTCAGCATTTTCTGTAGGCCGGCCTTCGAATGTTCTCGTTTCGAGATGTCTGCATCGAGTTCGGCAATCTTGTGCTCTAGTTTGCGGCATCGTTGTTGAGGTGGTAGATGGCCGTATTCGGACTGTACAGTGCTCTGTAACAAGAATAGATAAAAAATCGTTTAAAAAGCTTTTAGCTGATCCTATCATGTTCAAGCCATTAATGTAAAATATAAATTCTACTTTTCTTATACAATCAAAAATTACGTTATCCATAACAAAATCCTACTACAACTCCCGGAAAACCCCTCCAAACCCTCACCTTTCCGCTATTATTGCCACTTCCACCAAAGATACGATGATGCATCGATCCCTTCCGACTGACTGCTTTGCCATTCTGAACCTGACCTCGCTTTAACGTCGCATTATTGGCCATGAAGGCGTCTGCTGTGGATTCACCGTTGTTATCCAGAATCCTAGCCGGATCTCCCAAATCTTGGAATGCAAAGTCTGGAGGATGAGCGTAGCCAGTTTTCTTTAACTCTACTACAACGTGAGTGTCCTTCTCAGGATCTATGACTGATATTGCGCTTCTCATGTCATCGTAGCATCGTTGAACCACTAGAAATAGAAAAAAGATTATTTTTGTTAATTTTTTGTTTCAAAATTTTTAAAAATCTTGTTTTTTAGGTAAATCACTTTTATTAACAACGAAAGTCCAAAAAACTTCCATTTCTCCCCAAAAAACCATGCAAAAATCACTAAAACCCCCAAGAAAATGCCATTTTCAACCAAAACCTACCCTTCAGCACCCCCGTCTCCACATCCACCGTCTGTACCATGGCACTTTTGGTCGCGTTAATCCTGTCCATATCAAGTTGTCGCATTCTTTCTAATAACTGTGGAATCTGATGTTCGTAATGTCCTTTTTGTGCTGCGTTCGTTTGTTGTAAAATCTCGTAGTATCTACATCGTGCGTCGTTACTGGCGTGGGTTTTTTGAGCTAGATTAGCTTTGGTTCGTTCTAGTTCAGCTCGCGATATTTCCATATTCTTATCGGCTTTGTCGTGCTTAATATACGCGGTCTCGGCTTCTTTGAAGGCTTTTCTAAAAAGAGAAATTGATAAAATTGAAGCTACAGCTAGGTTAAGATATGAAATAACTTAATATGTCAAAATATTTTTAAAAACTTAAATTAAAAATCCAGAAATCAAAGAAAATTCATCGTATATTACCCATCCTCAATATCCATAACTTAAAAAATTTTTCCCCTCCCCAACTTACAAATAGTTCTTTTTCATTTTGTTCATGTGATCCACCTGCGCCGTTAGCTGATTGTTCAGATTCTGAAGTTCCTGTAAGTGCCGTTTTCGACCCATTCGCAATTCGTTGCATTTCGTGGCCACAACTGGACAAATCTGATTCTTCAACTTTTCACTGATCGTTTCATGTTGTGCCGCCAAAGAACCCAGCTCTTTTAGGATGGCATTAAAGGTATTGAAGTAGGAGAAGGCTTTGTATTCGTCTTCTTCCTTCTTCTTTGTACTGCATTTCTTCGCCAGATTCCTGAAAAAATAAATTTACATTTTAATCGAATTTTTCGAAATATTCGGAAAAAAGTTTTTACCAAGTTTGAAAAAAGAACTATAGCACTTATTTTCAGATAACTCAAAGTTTACTGCCCAGAAAATATACCAACTAAAAAATTTTTTGGGCTAAAAAATCTAAAAAGATCAGTTCATGTTACCTTAATTTCAACGCATATTCGTCCTCGATTTGCGCTCGTTCTTTCACAAACTGTCCGTATTTGTCTAGAAATTCAATTCCTCGTTGAGTGTGATCTGAGACTTGATTCGTTTGGTCCTAAAAATAACGTTTTTAATCAAAGATTTTGCAAAAAAATCAATTTTTAACACTTTTTTATTTTTACCTCATTTTAAATATTAATATTTTTATACTTTTAATGATTTATAGCCCTAAAACTATTTTTTACTTTAAGGTATTTAATTTGACTATGGCTATACCCATAAAGAGACAATCATCATGAAATGATAATATTTTGCTTATATTCATAATGGTATAATAATACTTTGATTAAGCCTTAAATTTACCTTTACTTTTATACTTTACAAATCAAATCTTATAATATTTTTGCTCTTTTCCAGCGCAATAAAGTGCATCTCTAGCGCAAAATCGTTTCTTTACCTACTTAACCCAATTCACACTCAAGTTGCACTGTTTCTAACACAACATCTATTTTTACATTTATTTTATTAGCATGATATCAATGTAAAAAATTAAAATTATTTGATCGACTTCAAATTAACAAATTTTCCTATAACTACATGTCACATAAAATGAAAATTTTTAAAAGAGTACCCCATTAAAAAGTCGCCATATCTACAATAATATCCCCCAAAACCCCCTATTTTTATCGTGGTTTCATTAAAAAAAACGTTAAAATCCATTTTTTACCGTAATATCAAAAAAACCTTCAAACCCCAATTTTACCGTGATATCATTGATATGCTGATGCACCATGGCAATACTAGTCTTTGTGACTGGGATATAATTTGGTGGTTGTAGATGGGCATCTTTGACCGCTCTTAACGCATCGAAATGACGTCGAGACTGGGTTGCACACCCTCCTTCAGCGTAGATTTCGTCGCCGTGGTTCATTGCGTAGCGACGATCTCTTTGAGCATTTACATCTGCATTGACATGCCCGCCGTTGATTTCTGGAAACGCACCCGCTCTTTCCACACTTACAAACTCCTTTACAACATTCGTTTTGTAAGTGGGAGGTAAAATCGCGCTGCTAACCGTGGACGAGCCGGTAGACGGAAGGGACTGCGACGACGAAGAACCGATCGCTTCGTCCGTCTCCTCGTCGTCTCCGTTTTCGCTGTGTTTTAGCTGTTCGGGACGGGGTGTTAGGTCATCAGATGGTTGCGGCGTCACGGATTCGGACGGGTCAATCATACTGTTTTTGCTCCCATCTGATTCCAGTGTGAATTCGGCGTGTTTTGGTGTGAAACCGAGGTTGTTTCGATCAAACTCTTGATGTTTTTGGTTGAAGTTGGCTTGATTTTGGTCGGATTTAGAGTTGTTTCGGTCGATATTGTTATGCTGTTGATTAAACTTCATGCCATTCTGATCTCCAGTATCATAGTAATGGCACGTGGTAGATACAGCATAGTGAGATTGAGCATTTTGATGTTTGTAAGCATAGATATCTTGTGGATTTGACCTAATAACTTCATGACCTAATCTATACACAACTTCTGGACCATTTGTACCATAAATTGGTCCAGTAGCACTAAAGGTTGATCCATTAGTGCCATAAACATTTCCATTTGTCCCATAAATCGACCCATTTAAGCTACTGTATATGCTTCCGTTGCTATCAAAGTTCGCGGCAGATCGTACTGATGGATCTTGATAAATATTGTCATCAAAGTCGTCATCCTTTAGGTCGTTATTATTCAAACTAGCGTTATCTGAATTCTGCCTTCTCATCTTCGCCATGCCTACAGATATCGTCGACGAATCGTTTAGATGAGATCCAGCCAAGAACTTTGGTTCGTCTGTGACTTTGGCTACGGGTGAAGAAGGTATATCATCTGTTGACCGTAGACCATCGTTCCAGTCCTTTCGTCGTTTGTTCACCTGTTCTTCTGTGCTGTCTGACTTGTCGTTTGTGAAGAGATTGTACAACGCGCTCGCACTGTTGCTCAGCTCCGAGCCGAGCGCCGTAAAGGGATTAAACTTTGTTTTAATCAACCTTGAAGCCGACTTCTTCCCGAATGTAAAACCCTTCTCTCTGGTCGACGTATCTTCACTATGTTTCCGGAACAATCCGTGATGATGAGTAGTCTTTTCTGGTGTTAACGAGTATCTTCGATTATCGTTGGGTATTGGTGGTTTTGGAGCTGGCATCAACTTTTTGTTTTGAACTGATAACAAAGCTGATACTCGTCTTGAATGAACCTCTTTGTCCACTAAATTTAACGGTAGTAAAGTAGGTCCATCATTTGGTTGAATCTCATAGTAATGAGGTTGAACATGGTCAACAGCTGAAGACATTGACGACCCTGATGATGAAGTTCTACACACATAATGAGGGTTGTAGTAGGTATTGTCTTCTAATCCAAATTTCGAATCCATGCATTCTGAAGCCGTATGTCGTAGGTTTGATTTGTAGTAAATCTCAGAGTTATTCGAGCTGTAATGTTGTTCGTCTGGTCGATTTTTGTTGCAATTCTCTTCGATTTTGGTTAGTTCTGGGTCTGAGATCGATGAATGTCGTTGGTGAAAATAGTTATTGAGATGGGCTGGAGCTACATTACTGTGGTCAGGGTAATATGTACTGCGATATGCTGGGTTACTATGCACTTCCATTTCTATGATATAAACGGTCAATTTATGGTTGTAAAGTTACACCAGTCAAAACGTCAAAATAAAGCAATGTCAATAAATAATGACACGATAAAGTTTAAAATCTTATAACAGCCCCTAAACCTGTATTTACAAAAACTCTTGTTATTTACATATAGACTACACGAAGACACAGTTATTCAAATACGAATCCCAGACAAAGAAGCAACCGAAACTGGCTCGAAAGCCCATAAAAATATTATGTACAAAAACTTTGACGCCTCAGGGATGAAACAACGAAATTATACAAAATATTCGTCTTCGTATTCGACATGAGACATCAAACTTGCTGGTCATTCAAGCGAAAACCTTCGGATGCACGCTGAATTTAATGTTTTGCAACAAAAAGTATAACTATAAAGTTACGGTAAATGAGTGATTCGACTATATAAAACGGTCAGTGATCGCTTAGTAGATTAAGAGAATTTTATTAGTCTGTTCAAATAATTCTGTACCCCTTCAAAGCAAATTTTTGAGATTAGAGGGCACATAATTATTCGAACAGTCTAATCATATATCAGTCTTTCCACTAAAGAATTACACAAAATCGCAAGCCCCAATTTGAGGGAATCGCTGTCGCGCCGAGAATTGGGGAATGTCGCGCGACATACAGCGAGTCATGGGACATTCGCTTGCACCCTGCGACATCAAAAGAAGAATTGCAATGTCGCAAGGTGCAAAACCTTGCGACAAGTTGTCGTATCGCGGTTTAAAGGGCGATGCGACAGCGTGTCGCTGTTGTCGCAAGTCACCATCGTGTTCAATGAAAGGTTTGCGACAAGTTTTCTTTGACTGCCGCAAGCCCCTTGACTTCTGCGACGACGGACCGGTGCGACAACTGGGGGCTTGCACTGTGCAGTCTTTCCATTATCGTTTGGGGTTGCAAGCGATCGCGGGGGAATCTGCACAGTGCAGGGGAATAAAAAAGGGCGCGATTTTCCCAGGGACTGCACTGTGCAGTTGTGTAATTCTTTAGTGGAAAGACTGATATTACAAAAGGACAATCAAGTAGCTGTTGTCATTATAAAGATGATGTCACGCTATCGAAAGCCACATTATAAAGGTTTCTACTGTAACTTTCGCTTTTTCAAACATTTCCCCCAAAAACTCAAAAAAAATAGAAAACCCTACTCAAAAACCAGCCAATGCCCACCACATTACCCTCTATTATCTACTAATGACAATAAGCTCTCTAAAAACAACATAAAAGTAAATAAAACGGCCTTAACCCAAACCTCCTCCCCCCCTCCCTCTTTTTTCGCTGCCTCCAGCTATTATAACATTTTTTCGCAAAAGTGGTCAGTTTTGCGTTACAAAAGTTTGTTTGGCAACGAGGAAACGAAATGGTTGTGGGGGACTCATCGTAAGTGCGAGCGGTCAGAAATTGAAAAATAAGCGGTTCAATGTGCACTTTACATTGTGGACCAAGAGGGCTTTATGACGTGCGCCAAATATAAATAAATATTATTTTTAATGCTTCTTGCATAAGAGAATCTGTATGCACAAACACGTGTGCGGACGAATATTCATATTGAGGTTAAGGCTCGAAGAGGAGGAGGAGGTAAGGGAAAGAACGAAGAGGATGGGGGTTTTTATAAAAAAAATAATATTAAACATCATATCACCTTTTAAAAACAGATGGTTAAGAAAACGCATGTTATATAGTGCTAAATTTTAAATTTTCATTTTTTCAAATAAAAGAATTGTCTTCAAGGCATCAAACTTATAATTTTTTTTACATTGCTGATCCTTCGCCAAAGTTTTAAAAATTCTCCTAGAAATAGCCGTTTTTCCTTCCCCAAAAAACAACTTTTCCTCCATATCTACTCTAACATAATATACTTCCAAAAAATAAAAAATGCCCTCCACAACCCCAAACAAAAGCCAGAATTCGGCGGCATCGAAAAGTTTCTTTTGTATTTGTCAAAAACATATATATGAGCTATGACAAGCCGTCTATACCTATTCTTTGATGCAAATCGCTCTTTGCTGGATTACAAAACGAATCGAAAATCGGAAAGGTCAGTCGTAATGTTGAGCCGATTTAAACACCCAATCGCTTATATTCGCATAAGTTGGTCTATATTCGAAATTTGAATGGTTTGGAGGGACTTAGAGCCTACTACAATATAGGATAAATTAGAGCCTACTATAACATAGAAAGAATTAGAGCCTACCACAACATAGAATGAGTTAGACCCTACTATAATGTAGGATGAAATACAGCCTAGATACTATAACATAATCAAAGAGAAGAAGAACAAAAAGAACAAGAAGATGAGTAGTAATCAAAAGAAGAACCAAGAGTTCGACAAAGCCTATCTCTAACTACTTTTCGACTGCTTTATCTCCCTTATTTATCAAACTTAGTACCTTCAATGTATCAAACTATACTACCAAAAGATCGACAAAAACTAAAGAGCTATATTACCCTTAAAAGCACTCTCTTCAATCTCAAGCCAGCCGCTAATTCAGCTTCCGTAAGCGAATATACTTTGCAAATTACTGGAACGACAAAGCAATCAGCAGTCGATTGTATTGAAAACGAGTTGTTATGAAAACGCACATCTCCTCAACATTATACGCACGTCTTTTGTTCCTTACAAAACAACATGTTGACATAGTATTTATAGCAATTAACATATAACCGAGAGTAAAGCGCTTAATTGACCTCTTACCCCCGCTGACAGTGGTCTAGCGCGCAAAACAGTCATGTTATGATCGGTGGGGGAGATTTTCTTGTGTAAAATACGAACTTACATCTCTTTTTTTTATTTTAACTTAACAGCCTTTAGATGAAAAGTATTTGCTTACAGTGTTCTTACTATATAAGCTATAGTACGCTTAATATATCAGCTATTGTACATTTACTATAAAACCTATAGTACTCTTACTATGCTACCCCTCAATTGTACGAAATCATTAACAACCAAAGTACTGCAAAAAACAGCCTAAAATCATTTCTTTAACTAGTACAACAAAAAAGTAAAAACAACTTTGCAAAACCAATATCTGCGTGATAGTAAGAATTGTTTTCGCATACATCTTCAAGTACTTAAACACGCGAATATACAACGCTAGTAATCACCCCTCCTGCAAAGTGTGGTCTCTCTTTTTGCAAGCGTAGAATCTGCTTTCGTAAAGCATATCATTAAGTAACAGCTTGATTAAAATGAGGGAGACATTACTTTCTATTACCATATTTGGTACAGCTAAGAAAAAAAACAAAGTAGAAGAAGACAAAGGTTACCCCAATCATTTAAAAAAGGTCTTGAGTTACCCTACCCACCTATCATAGTTTTAAAATATCAAGAAAAATCGACAAAAACCAAAGTAAAAACTGTAAGGAGACTACTGTAACCCCAGACCCATCCCACCCCAATCCAAAAATCATAACCCAAGCCAGCGTTCGCCTAATTTGCAGATCAAATTTACAAATACAAGAAAATGTTTTTATAATTAAAGCGAATCTTCCCCCTCCCTCCGCAGGGGTTTTATCCGTCCAACCGTGCGGATCGGATTTTTGAGTAAAGTTGAGTGAAAAAAAAAAGATTCTCCACTGTGTATCGAAACAGCGAGTGGACCGGCTGTGAAAATCGAGGTTTAGGTCAGAGGATGCGCAAAAACATTAGACCCTGCAGTTAACCTCGTCTTCTCTCGGTTATAATGGTCAAGGAAGTTTAAAAACGCAAAAAAATGCGTGTAATTTGTTGTAGTTTATGGGCAGAAAAACAAACTTTTGAGGTTAAATTAAAGGTTCAAAAGTAAATAGAAACAACTAAAAATAAAAAAAAATAATAGCCAAAAATTCCTGAATACAGTACCAAATATGCTAGTAATCACCAAGTTTCCAAGCCAAGATATCACCAATAATAACCTCAAAATCTCGATAAAACATAACAAAGTAAAATCCAGAAAGCTACCATAAACAACGAAAAAACAAAAGTAAAGTTGTTTTTTGGTAATATGACAAAACAACTCTTTACAGTCTTCGATTAAGAGATTTCAGGGGTAATTACACTACACAATCGGCTTCAACTAGAGCAAAACAATGTTCAGAGTGCCATTTGACGAAAATACAAACTTGATGATCAACAAGTAGACTGTCAGACAGCTACTAGAAAGACATACGCGTAAGTTCAAAGGTATTATATCTTGTCATAGTGAGGTCAAAAAACTTAAACATTGGTCTTGGTTGAAGTAAGATCGAAAAGTCTGCCTATCATTATATTAACAAGTTATAAAAGCCATTTTACGTACTAATTTAACATACTATTTAGTACCAGTACCACTATCTAAATACTTGTAAACATGTGTTTACCCCAAAACATATTACACCCAATATTAACGACGTCTTCGCTTGCTAGCGACACCTGCGCGGTTCAGTTGCCATAGCGATAAATTCGGAATACAGTTCCGGCCTGTTATTTTAGCCTTAACCTCCATAAATTATACCGGCTTTGATTGCTCTAGGGCATTTTTAATAACCAAAAAGCGTGCGTTAAGGCCATATTAATCATTACACATAAATTATACACAAAATTCACTTAAAAGGTTCTTTGTAGCTACAGGTGGTATATTATAATAAATATCAGTTCTGTTTGCAGCTATAGGTATATTAGAATAAATATGAGTTTGTGCCATTGTTTAAAGCAACAATCCTAAGGTTAACAACCAAATTAAAAATTTTCAAAAACTTGGTCCTTAATTAAAAGATGTACTCACCAAAATCTCGTGAAACGTTGATAAAACAGCCTCTTTTAGGTTGACCAACCCTTCATTTATATTATCCATGATTATAATAGCAGTCATAGTTTAAAAAAAATGCTTTAACTAACTTTAAACCATAAAATTTTATATTTAGCTACAATAATATAGCCAAAAAAAAACTAATGTTTCTAAATCTGGCAGCAATAATTTAAGTAATAAATCAAAAAATGTCCAGTAAGAATCCAAAACTACAA